TTAGGACAGGATGATGCAGTGTCCCAGTAGCGTGTCACTGCATTTGAAAGCTCTTTGACTGCCTTGCTCATTGGGCCAATGGGATGCAGGATGGGCCATCCTGCCTTTTACAGGGTGGCTGACAATACTCAGGCCCACAAAGGAGTTAATATGCATGAAAAGCTCCCACACAGTCCCTGGCATTGTGCAAATCCTCAGGACCCTCACTCTGCCCCAAGGAGGGTGACCAGATGTCCCGATTTTATAGGGACAGTCCCGATATTTGGAGCTTTTTCTTATATAGGATCCTATTACCTCCCACCCCGTCCCGATTTTTCATACTTGCTGTCTGGTCACCCTAGCCCCAAGAGGGGGAGGGATGCAGAAGGGGAGTGCTGGATGCCCTTGTTTTAAGGAACCGCTTTATTGCCTGGCCATGTGATCGCTCCCGAAATCTGTCCAGAGCTTCCTGCCTGCCTGGGCTTCCTTTCAAAACTCACTGCTATCACTGCAGAGAAAACAAACCGTTTACTCTTTCATCTGGGCACCGTACGGCATCCATTTCCACCCAGCCAAATCCTGGCCATCAGCCCCGTGTACCACAGCATCAGTGCCCCTACAGGCACCGCTCGTGAGCAAGTGCTGTAAACTGTCCTTGAGAAGTCCAGGCAAAATCTTTGAAAAGCCTGGCTCACGATGCGTTACGTGGGAGCTGGGTGCTCAAACCCGCTGGCTGGAATGCTGGGTGCTGTTTGTGGACTAACCAGATGTTATTCTGTGCATCCTGTGGCCAATGACAAAACTTTACAGCTTAAACGCCCACCTTTTCTTTCCTTACATCTGCAGGGAAATTGGCACGGCCCAGGCCCATCTTTTCTTTCTTAAATGTTGAAATCATTAACTGGGCCATCTCCCTCCTTTTGTGGCCTCTATTGCCCTGCTATTCGAGCAATCTTGTGCCCTCGCTGAACCCCCGTCACACAACAAACCCAGGTCAGGGGAAAGGCAGGGGGGAGGGAAGCTAACGAATTGCTGCTCCTCTCCATGGGGGCAAAGCCGTGATGCCTGTTGTCAGGATCAGCCCCAGGTTGTGAGTCTTGCATTGAGAGTCAGAGTCCCTCTCCATAGGCTGGATTGGAGGTGCGGTCCTGGGGGCAGGAATTGGGGAAGACCAAGTCCAGCTGGGTCTTATGAACTAGGGATTTAGCCCCTCGTGGAGCAGCACTAGTGCAAATCCCTAGTGTAGACAAGCAAAGCTACTGTGAACCACCATTTGCACGGTGCCGCTTGCGGTGGTTTCCAGCAGCATTAAGCTGCCCTGCTGCAAATCACAGCTGCCAGCGGCCTGCACGCCCCGCAGCAGCACCCACACCCGGAGTGCCCAGGGAAGGCAAGGCCTAAGCTCAAAGTTTCTAAACCCCTGGAGCAGTGTGGCCAGAGGCCCCTTAGGTTTGTAGACTGGAGCAGGAAATAGAGGAAGGCAATGAGAAAGGACTGGACACAGAGCAAGCAAATCCAACCCCACCCAAAAGCAAAGACGAGCTCCCCTTCCCCCCCACGGACCCAGGTTACTCTGGTTTTCATGCTTCCTTAGAACAAGCCTGTCCCAGGAGCCTCTCTAGACCAAACAATCTTTGCTTCTGAACAAAGCAACCTTGGACACACACTTGGGACACATCAACAAAGTCCAGTTCTCATAACAACGTTCCCAGCATGCATCGGGGCCTCCTGAGCGTGACTTTGTCTATGTGATTTTAAGCCTTTTCCCAAAGTCCCAGGGTAATAGGCCAATGGCCTTGAGCCCAGTTCGGTCTCCCTCCCCTAGGTAGGCCGGTGCCAGCTTTCCCTGCATAACACAGGGAAGTGCATTGAAGAGTCTCGCCCTGAGTTCATTCTGGATGGGAGTGGGAGCTAGGGGATTCTTTGGGAACATGTCAGCCAGTTGGGGGCTCAGCACCCCAGGAGTAGACAGCTCTCCTGGCAAATGGTTTGTGACTAAAATCTACCCCACGCCCCTTTCCAACTCACTGGTAGCACAGGGCTGGCCTGTGGCAGGCTGAGGCCTAAATCTCCATGGAGCTCAGAAATTCTGATCCTGGAAACCGGGAGGGTTTCCCTACACAGCGTCTGTTCTAGGGCTTGGCAAACAGAAGCAAACACAAGCAGAACCCCCCAGCATTGCCCCCAGCCGGCTGCTTTTTGAGCCTGCTCAACTAGAAAGCTGCCAGGTCAGCTTGGCAGAGACCTCATAGACGTTCGCATCACAGTGTTACCTGGTGGCACCAACGGGCAAGAGAGGCAGGGTGGGCAGGGTGCCACCACTGGCGGGGGGGGGTTGATAGGGTGGGGAACAGCAATACCTGCACCTTAAGGTCACTGGGTTCATCCATCCCAACCCCGTCTCCGCTCACTACATGCACATACAGCCCAACTATCAAGCGAGGAGATCACCCCTAAAGATTTATGACTTCCCTCTGAAGAACTATGCCCACAGGAGCTGGTGCCTCAACGCAGGGCCTCAGAGGGAACCAGACGCTAGGGTAAATCAAACTCTCTTAGAAACTCCAAGAGAAACTGCTGAGCTGGAATTGATATGCAAACTAGATACAATCAATTTAGGATTGAATAAGGACTGGGAATGGCTGAGCCATTACAAACATTGAATCTATCTCCCCTTGTAAGTATTCTCACACTTCTTATCAACCTGTCTGTACTGGGCCAGCTTGATTATCACTTCAAAAGGTTTTTTCTCGTACTAATTGGCCTCTCGGAGTTGGTAAGACAACTCCCACGTGTTCATGCTCTCTGTATGTGTATATCTCTCTCTCACTATATGTTCCATTCTATGCATCCGAAGAAGTGGGCAGTAGCCCACGAAAGCTGATGCTCAAATAAATGTGTTAGTCTCCAAGGTGCCACAAGTCCTCCTGTTCTTTTTGCGGATACAGACTAACACGGCGGCTACTCTGACACCTCTCTTCGAAATGGATTTCCAGCAAAAATGGCACAGGGGAGCTATGTGCTTTCACTCGCCCTGAGCTATGCCACATTCTTCCACTAGCCCAGCCCAGCCCACCCTGACCTTGTCAGCAGGTCTCTGCATCTCCTGCCCTCCGGGACAACCTCCCTTTCGCCCTGTTCCTCACTTCCCTCTCTCTCTTTTCAGATCTCAGCTGCTCACATCTTTCCTCCCTGGCCTGTACCTCTGGGTGCTATTGTAATGGCGTTATCTGCTCATCACATTGGAGTAGCGCTTGTGTGCAAGATACTATCCAACAGGCAGGCACATTGTATGGTAACGGCCTCGGGTTTGAACTTCCCTCCCCTCAGCAGCCAGATGAGTTCTCTGAATAAACAGTCTGTACTTGGATTTTCATCAATGGGAAGACAAGAAACCGGGGAGATAAACCGGAGATAAATAGCAAGGGTCTAAACGGTTACGGCTCACGAATCATTAGCCAGCTCTATTGTAAACACATCCCCCTAACGAACTAGTAAACGATGACTCCCTCGTGTAAACACGGCAGCTCTTAGGCCTGGACTACAACTGTTTTTGTACTGGTGCAATTATGTTAACTAGGGGGGTGATTTTATTACTTTGGCCTGGTCTAAACTCAACATTTCTAGAAGCAGAGCTCTGTCTGTTAGGGATAGGATTTTTTTACCAACACAGCTGTACCGGTATAAGCCCTAGAATGGGCCCAGTTATACCAGCAAAAAAGCCCTTATGCTGGTATACCTCATTTTGTTTGGGGAGCTGTTACAGGTGATACAGGCAAAAGATCTCTTGGGCCAGAATAAGGTGCGTCTCCACTTGGAGTGGAGTGAAGACCGGGCCTTTCTACAGAAGACGAGCCTCTGAAAGTGGTACCAACACAACCCCTAGCATTGATGCAGTTACACCAGTATAAAGGTGCCTCAGGTCTCAGTTACACAAGCAAGTTTTACCAGCAGACAGACCTGTGTCAGACGGGAGTGTAAAAAAATCACGCCCCCGACCAACCGAGCTGTGCCCGCAGAAGCTGCAGTGTAGATGAAGTTACCCCAGTAAAAAATGTCCATTTGCCAGTAAAGGCTGTTCCACTGGGGAAACTGGTATAAACTAGAGCTTTTTTGGCTCTATCAGCTCCATATCCACTATACCAGCAAACCCTTTTACGTGTAGACAAGGCATGACTCAGCAATCCCATTATAAGCCCCTTTCATAGAGCTATAATTGTGTCCACACTAGAGGGTTGTTGCCAGTGCTTAATTTGTAATGGAAGAGGTGCTGGAGCTGATGCGGCAAGCCCAGAGGCGCCGGGGCTCTGAACTGCCAGGCCTAGAGGTGCCGGGGCTATGAACTGCCAGGCCCAGAGGTGCCAGGGCTCTGAACGGCCAGGCCTGGAGGTGCCAGGGCTCTGAACTGCCAGGCCCAGAGGTGCAGGGGCTCTGAACTGCCAGGCCCGGAGGTGCCGGGGCTCTGAACTGCCAAGTCCGGAGGTGCCAGGGCTCTGAACTGCCAGGCCCGGAGGTGTAGGGGCTCTGAACTGCCAGGCCCGGAGGTGCCGGGGCTCTGAACTGCCAGGCCCGGAGGTGCCGGGGCTCTGAACTGCCAAGCCCAGAGGTGCCAGGGCTCTGCTCTGGCAAGCCCTGGCACAAATGAAGCCCTGGATCTAGCACTTTCTCTACACCAACCTGGTTAAAGCCGTACAGCTAATGCGTGCGCGTAGGCAATCACTAGAGAAATGACTCCGGGACAGCAGCTGAGTCCGGGCCATCACGACAGTGGTTCTGTCAGGGCTGGGGACGCTGTGGCAGTCCTTGGAGGGCACATGCAGTCCCTTTAATACAGGCCTTCTTTAATACAACCATGAGTCAGCGGCTGGCGTGGGCAGTGGATTTTCTAAACATCCCCTCATATCCTGAGAAAGGGGGAAAATGGAAAGGGGGGGGAGGTTTGAAAAAACGACCGGGAGAAAGGCCAGAATTGAAAGCAGACAGAGAGAGAGAGAGCTGAGTCCATTCTTGTTTCCTCAAGTCCAAGGAGGAAAGGCAGGGCAGGGTGCTTGTCTCTGCTTTTGTTTTGCTTTGAGCTGGGAGCTGTGCAGAGCTCAGGTCCAAGCCCTCCCCCCCCCCCAGCTCTGAGTGAAACTCCCCCTTGGAGCTCGGTTCCTTTTTGTTTGTTTTGAATCGAAAGTTTTGGAAAAGGCTCCAGCTGGCAGGGGGCGGGGGAAGGACGGGAAGAAGTTTTCAAGACGGCTCCAGCCTTTTGCCTATTGGACCAAAGCCTCTCCCCGCAAGTTCTGTGCTTTTTCCAGTTGTATTTTCCCCCCACCGGCTGCCGGGTTGTTTCTCCGCAGCGCGGCACGGAAGGGCCCCCAGGCGCACGGCCCGCGGCGATGCTCTAGGGTCCGCTGAGATGCGCTAGAGGCAGGGCCAGGGCCCGTCCAGGGGAGCGGCCGGGAGCTGGGAGGAACGGAGCCGCTGGGGCAGGGCAGGGCGATCGGGAGAAGAGGAGGAGGGAGAGGAATCGCTCGCGGCTGGAGGCTGGGGAGCGAGCCCCGCGCACGGTAAGCTGCGCGCCCGGGAGAGCTGCGCTGCGCTGCGCTCTGGTGGCTGGAAATCCCGTCGGGCGAGCCCCGCTGGGGAGGGGCGGGCAGCGGGGCAGGGGTCACGCTCAGCCCCGCGGCCAGGAGCCGCTTTCGGGGAAAGGGGAAGAAGGGACCCCGCTGCCCAGCCTGGAAGCCGCCAGTCCAAGCAGCTGGATTCGCACCTGGCCCTCGCCCCGGGTCCTAGGATGTGCTGCCAAGCGCCCAGCTGCCGGGGAAGGGCCGGCAGGCGAGGGGGCTGCAGGGCGGCGCGGCATCTCGCCCGGACGGCCGGGGAAGTGAGCTGGGGCCCCGGCAGAGCCCGCTGGTGGTGCCCCGGGCGGGAGCAGCAATCAGGGCTGCGGGGATGCGCAGTTAGACCCGAGACAGCTGGGGTAGCCAGGGGGCTCCTGCCTTGCTGCTCGGTCCTTGCAAACCCCCGTCAACCCTGTACAGTCTTGTGTGCTTCGCATCTGGATCCTGCCCAGTCAGAGCCCTTTGCTATTGTAGGGCAGGGCTGGGACTGGGCCCTGGGAGACCAGGGCTCTGGCTGCTGGAGAAATGTCTAGGTAGATTGGATTAGCAGGACAGACCGATTCAGATCCTGGGGGCCTTGGGTCATGCTGGGCACCGCTGGTGACACAGCAAGGTCAGCCTTCCCCAGGGCGCGTCCATCTGTCCATCTACTGGCACGGCTACGAATCTGGCTGGCTTGTCCCAAGGGCAGCGCGCCCCTCTGGGGCTCATGGCTTGGTCCCTTGTGCGCAGCCCACACTGATCCGGGATGGCAGCAATTGCAAAGGTTAGCAGCATCTCTCCAGGACTTGGGTCCTTGAAAGGGAAACACAAGGCTCTGCAGCAGGACAGGAGGGCTCAGGAGATGGGCAGTGACTTTTCACCTCCTGGGCATTTGTTTCAGTGGTTTGAACATTGGCCTGCTAAACGCAGGGTTGTGAGTTCAATCCTTGAGGGGGCCACTTAGGGATCTGGGGCAAAATCAGTACTTGGTCCTGCTAGTGAAGGCAGGGGGCTGGACTTGATGACCTTTTGGGGTCCCTTCCAGTTCTAGGAGATAGGGTATCTCCATATATTATTATTTATTATTATTATTAGCAGGATGGCTGTTTAGTGCTCTCTGGGGCGTGAGTTGGGGTCTTCCTCCAGTTCTTACTGGAGATACGCGCTCAGGTCACAAAAAGCACCACCCCAGCGACGTGCTTGCTGGTAGTCTGAGCTGAGAGGCCGGAGTCTGAAGGGGCCCCAGAGATTGAATTACCATCAAAGAAAGTCACATTGGTGGGGCACTGTGGGAGGAAGCAGGTACCCACATGGCCGGTACTCTGGTGCTCGAACGCAGGGGTGTCACTCTGGTTCTACAGAGACGGCCGAGTTATGCTTTTAAGGGTGGTCTTTGGTCAACGGCCACAACATTCAGTCTAGTCTAGCCTGGCTCTGCAGTGGAGTGCCACTCGTCTGAGTGGGAGCTTTGCAAAAGATCAAGGATTGAAGGGGGGTAATGGCAAATGTTAGGCCCTGCTTCAGGAAAGCTGTGAAACACCAGCTCCATTCCCCCCCCTCCCCCTCCCCTCCTCCCATTTCAATGGGAGTCAGGCGAGAGAGGGCCAGGGCCAGGGCCAGGAAAGGCGGCTATGATGTTCTGACAGTGAGACTGTGAAGGAGGCAGGGCTTCCCGAATGAATAACAAGCCCTTGGGTGGGGCTGATGGGAAGGTGGCCACATTTACTCTCTAGCCTCACATCAGAGGGTTATTAATGCAGGCTGGGACTTTCCGAGGGCTACGGGGGCCCGGGATGCAGTTTCAGTCTCAACCTGCAATTAGCCAAGGGAATTAGTGCTGGGCAGGACAGCCATGCCTATGACCGTGCTGAGATGAGGACCTGCTGGTTATCAGCCCAGCAGCAGGAACGGGGAGCATTTTCTTTGAGCCCGATCCTACAACCCTTATTCAGGTGTGTAGGCCTCACTCACACAAGTAAGTCTGGGGGGGGGCTTGTGAGGTAGTGACTGTCTCAGGCCCATGAAGCAGGGTGAAGTTTGGCTCTTACCTACTGTACCTGAGCATTGCAGGCTCCACTCTGCCCTGAGCTAACCCTCCACGGGGGTGGGTGGGAGTCTGCTGTTGTGAGCTGGGGACTGGACCAAATCCTGGCCCCATTTGTTGACTTCGATGGAGCCCAGCTCTGGCCCGGAGGCCGCCTGAAGGCTGGGATTGTTCTGGCTTTGTCAACGTCCTGTCAATGAAGGCCTCTGGGAGTTTGTTTGTTTTGTTTAAACAAAGGGGCTGAAATCCCAAAGAGGATCTTTGAGGGGATTGTATAAACCGGGTATTGTTTCCCCAAGCGCTGGAACCACTCCAGAAAGCTCCTTCTGCTCTGCTGGGCAAACAGGACATAATGAGGCTGGTTTGGGTTGTTATTCCCCACCCCCTAAATGCCTAATTAGGCTCCCTGAACCAAACACCCCTCTGGCCCCCTCAGCTTCCAACCCTCCCCAGCGGGGCCTGCCTGGGTCTGGAGCTGCAGTGTCTTTCTGGACCCGAGCAATATATTGAAACTGAGCATTATTATGTTCATTGCGGTAGCACTTTGAGGCCCCCAGTGAGATCCAGGCCCCATTGTACTAATGGGGCACATACACCCAGCAAGAGACAGGAGATCTCCCTGCCTAAGCAGACCAAGAAGGTTTTAGTATCCCCATTTTACAGCTGGGGAACTGAGGCCCAGAGAGTCAGTGAGCTGCCTAAGGCCGCAGAGGAAGCCTGTGGCAGAGGTGGACATTGACCCTAGATCTCTCCTGGGCCTCGATCCAACGCTTCAGCCACAGGAGCAAATTGCACCTTGCAGTGCTGTGCTGCATGGCGTGTGTTGAGAGCCCGCACTGCCCTGTGAAGGGGGGCAGGAATTGGAAGAGGAAGGGGCAGAAGGGACAGCGTGGAGGGAGAGGAAGTGCTAAGGTCAGGAGTGGAGCTTGCCCTCTGAAAGATGCACAGATGATACCAGTCCGTTGCCTCTCCCTGCAGCACAGGCATGTCCCACTCACAGGGTGCTGGAGACACCACTGCTGCTCCTCCCCCACCGTGCAGCATGCTCCCTGCTGGCTGGGCACTGCCCTCCTTCCCAGAGCGCTAGATCCATGTCCGAGATCAGTAAGAATGAGGATGGTTACATAAGGAGTCAGCAGATTGTCACTGAAAGGGCCGGTGCAGAAAACAAACCCCGGCAAGTCCCCATAAGAAATGATGCCCCCAGGCAACTAAAATTCAGTGAGAGGCGATGTAAATGACGTATATCCCTCTGTGGCGTTTGCTCTCCTATGCCTGCAGTGTACCCAATAGCCATGGCATACGCCCGCCTCCGAGCATCACACCTGCCTACACCCCTCACGCCAGCTCTCCTACATCTCTGGCTGCGCCCACCTCTCCCCAGCACTAGAGTACCCAATAGTGTGCCCCGGGAGAAAATCTGAAATTGGGGGTGGGGGTGGGAACAGGAACGAAGCCCTGTTCGGAGGGTGTGCAGATGAGTAAGTGCACTGGCCCATTGGACCTGTATATTGGGAGCAGAGACAGGCCTGGATCAAAAACCCAGTTCCCAAGGCACCTTGTGCCCACATCTGAAGAGGAGAATCCTTAGTTCCTGTCCCTCTTACCGAAGAACTCCGGGCAAGATGCGAGCAAGCTGGAACGTTTTGTCTCTGGTGGGCACTGGGCAGGAAGGGAATAAGATCCCCATGGTTCCAACACCTCATGGAGCAGATGGACTTTTTGCCCTGCCCAGAAGGGGGTTTATCCCTTACTAGTGGCACTCGGTAGCCAGAGACCTGGCAGGCGACCTAAGCCAGCTGATGGATTCTGCAGGCCTGTCTCCTGCAGCCCTGCCCTGCGCGCTGGGTTCTCTGCCTTCATATTCTTGGCCTGCCCAGCACTGTAAGGGGCTGTGACTGAAATCTTAATGTTACCGAGACACAGTAATTGGCACCAATTAAATTGCTACATTCATGTTTGAATTGCTTTAACTGGCGAGACACACTGTCTTATTTATACAAAAAATATGTTTGCTTGTGGGTTTCTCTGAACTGGGGCCAGGAGAAAATCCACCATCGCAAGCCGCTTTTTCTGAAGGCGCATTCTCCCCTTGCGAATTGGAAGTCACTTCAGTTTCAATTTATTTGCCTGGAAACTGGTTGCAGAATAGAAGCCCCCCTTGTTTAAGGGATTGGGAGCTTCGACCACCTTTCAGAGCTCCCCCACCCCCCTTTGCACACAGCTGCCAAGCTTTTCTCCTCCAGCCTGGGAGCTTTTCAAGAGAACATGGATGTGGCTTTATTTAGGAAGGAGAATTCCTCCAGGACTAGGAACGCATATTGATCGTTCTCAAAGCTGTGTCTGGAGGGCCGAGAAGGGAAGGTAGCTTTGGGGGGCTGGCTGCAGCCAGAGACTGTCCTAGGAAAGCATGGAAATCCAGCTCAGATTAGTGTCCTCCCAAAGCGATTACCCGCTGTTCAGGGCAGGGCCAGCCCTTGAGTGAGGCCCCAGGGCATTAGAGTGATGGGATGAGAAGAATGGAATGCCAGGGTCCCAGCTCCCTTGCCCCTGTACGGAGGCACCAAAAGAAGAGGAAACC